TATACTAAGCGGAGGATTGAATCCAATATCATTACCCATAGCGGACGCCACGAATCAGTTGGAATAAGCTGTCAGCTCTATTGCACCGAAGGTGGACGGAATGCAAGGGCCAGAAGACCTTCCAAGTCGACGGTAGGTGTAGGCGAATAGGAGATTGACATTTTGCTAAAAACCGAGATTCTCGCGAAGGCTCCACCACGGTGTTCATTTCTTCTAGCATCCCTTATCACATCAGCTGCAGCCTGCACAGAGCAACGTCATAGAGCTAGTGTCGGACCCCCCCCCCCCCTCTTTCCCTCCATGTTGTAGCTGTTTTATTAAACCTTGACGAGAAAAAAAAAGGAGTGGGCACGTAAAGAAATTGTTCGCCCGAGAAGATCACTGACCCTTCTTAGTACTCATTCTCTCCGATCTTGTCTCATTCTCGCTAGAGAACTAGAGTCCAACCTCGAGTCGAGAATCGAGCCAACTTTTAAAACCTCCCCTCATCAAATGAGAATTGACCTAGCCTTTCCTGAGGGAGGATGGGATTGAGATTAAGATGGGATTAAGACAGGACCCGGGAAGACCCTCATGTTGGGATTTCTCCAGGCCAGCCACTTATTACCCTCTCGGTATGCGAGTCCTTCCATTCACTCTCGGGAATTCATCGTCGTTTGGGGATGAGGAATTTTTCGAGGACAAATCTCACGTTTGCTCGCACGTGGTTTGAGCTAGGTGAATAACACGTTTCACGGTTTTGGTGAGTGAAAAGAAAATAAAGATTTTCGCCCCCTTCCCCTCGTGCGATTAGTATCCCATGTTGGCATCGCCTATGGTAATGCCTTAAACATGCCGTGGCGTTGGCCTGTCTGTGCAGGAATGGCAAATCGAGGAAAATGTTGCTTGACCGGTGAAAGGTAAGCGGATACGTACAGGACTGCTTCAAATGGATGGAGTTTTTCTCCTCCATACGTGTTATGAACCTTCGAAGGATTTCTCGTCTGTTCGTCAGTTACATTTCTTGTCCACCTTATTTTCAGACCCGACGGCTGCTTGGAATTCTCGGCCAACTCGTAAATGGCTGGATTCTCATTCAATCTTATGCGATGCGGGAGGGGAATTAACTGCGGTATGTGGAACAATTTTACGTTTTTGTCCCCTAGAGGCAAAAGTTAAAAAAAATATGGAGGAAACAAAATGACAATTACCGCTGGATAGATTCGATAGAAATTCAATTTTAGCAAATTGGCTCTGTAAGAGCTATTGAGTCTTTTAATGCGTGCATTCAAGTTCTGCTTACATCCTATAATATATTCCTCAACACCCCCCCCCCAACCGCTTTCCCATATTTTTGTTCACGGTCGTACGCAATCGAAGGCGAGAGGGTCACTTGAGATATTTACTATGTGGTACTGGAGAGATGCTTCATGGCTTTATGTGCCTAGAATATTTACAAAATTAGTTTTTCTTACTCTTTGTTTTTCCTGTTCTTTCTCCCTTCCCACTCTGGGAAGGATATTTGGGCACAACTAGGAAGAATTCTCCGAATTCGCTAAATTAAATTTCATGAATATTTAATTTTGTAACAAATATTAGTTTTCGAAACATTTATCATACAATTTCCCCCCCCCAAAAAAAAAAAAAAATTCCCGATTTCCAAACAAAATGAAATTCATTCATACGATTGCCAAAGTTATGGGAAGAGGCCAGAGATGGACACATTGACGTTTTGGAGAAAAGGTGAAAAAGGTGAAAAAGTCTTTATGGACGGGTTGCACGAAAGACAGCCCGTGGGATTCCCGTTTCGTTGGATGATTTTCTTCGATGGCATCTCCAGCATCTCTGCCAAGGTCATGTTTTTGCATTCTGAAAGCATTCCAAACGGAGATTAGTCCCGAGGATCTCGTCCTCTTCGGTTCCGTGTCACCTGGCGTGTGACGTCACTTTTATTGGGTGGTGACTGAAGTGACATGGGCCCTTCGCGCTTTGGACAATCCCATTCTTTGTGTAGCCACCATCAACGTCGTAGCCAAACCAGCTTCTGCAAAAAATATACAGTGAAAACTCGTTAACTCGAACTTTTAGGGACCGGGCAAATCGTTTTAGAGAAGGAAGGGCAAGAGGGAATATGCCCCGGGCCCCATGCCCGGAGGCCCCTCACGTCGGCACCCACCCCTCATCATGCAATCCACTCCCTCTTCCCAGTTAAGAGTAGAGAGTGTAACTAGAGACGACACTTCGAGGGGTAGTGAGGGGAGGGGGGTTGAAATTATACAGAGGCATCTGGTGGCTTGTTATCAACGACACTTCCATAAGGCTTGCTTCGTGGCAGCGGAGTCGGGAAACGACTCGTTCGGGGATTCGATTGAAAAGGGATCTCTCAACGTAACACGCATATTGCGATTGACAATGAATGGGATTCGAGCGGAATCTCGCCTCGAGTTCATGCAGCGATTGCGATGCGAGACCGAGTCGGGTGAGGTTTTCCATCGAAGTCCGAGAGAAAGCGCGGTTTAGCTCGAGGACAGTATGGTCGCGAGTGCAACTTAGGCTCTGACGTGTGGGGGACTAAATGTGGTCTGAAGTGTTGCTTGTTTCCGATTTTAACCCAAGTCGGCTCGAAACCCTAGTTCGTTGCCTTGACGCCAAATTCCGTGCAAAGTCCTTTATTTATACATATCGATCGTCTAGGAGCGAACACTGCCGGCACCAACTCATGACTTATTTTACTATATGGTGGACCGGTTCATGGAAAATTACAATAATTTCAAGTTTCACCTCTCTAACGACCTAATTCCCGTTTGGGTAACTTAACAAGGGTCGAGGTCACGGTCATCCTCTATACCGTGTACTGGCAGTCACTCGGGGAACTCCCTTTTGGTGATTGCCGACAAGATCAGGACAAAAATCACTCAAAAAAACACTCCATCCCTGTTATTTGGAACTCCATCCTTTGCAGGGTTAACGCTGAGGCACCATTCTGATGGAGCTGAAGCGGATGTGCATGCAGACTGTCACTCCGACCAAATCGCATCATTTAAATCTCGCGAGTTGATCCGCCATAGTTAGCACGAAAAGACGTGGCTAAATTCCCTACGAGGGAGCTCGAGCCGCGTGAAATATAGCGATGGAAAAGCGAAGGGATGACTCGGCGCGGCATGCGACCGTTTTAAGAAACCGTTGCAAGTCACAATTTATTGAGATTGATTGCCTCCCGTTATGAATCATCTGTTATTTTCATCGCCGAAGTGGATCGTGCAGAAGCGAATGCAGCAATTTACGAGACATTCTACCTGCAAGGGTCATTCCACCTGCAGGGAGCGTTCCACCTGCAGGTGGTCATTCCACCTGCAGGGGGGTCATTCCACCTGCAGGGGGGTCATTCCACCTGCAANAAAAAAAAACAAAAGAAACAAAAGAACATCCTCCCGAACGGGTTTCTTGTCATTCATCCTATTCAAAAATCGAAAAGTCCCACGAGAAGAATTTTTCCCCCCTTCGCACCCTGAATTCGAGTTAACCGTGAGAAAATCGTTATCGGGAGTGAAAATGTCATTCGAGATATCCGGAAATTCGAGATAAGCGAATTCGAGTTAAACGGAGCATTTAACATGGTGTCCTACGGGGTTCCGCCGGGACCAAGCATTCAAGTTCGAGATAAGCGGAATTTCGACTTATCAGGATTCGAGTTAACGAGTTTTCACTGTATGTAAATATTGAGTAAACATCCCAGAATTCGGATGCAGTTGTAGTTTGGGCATAAATCGTCGTGTATTGCCGATAACCGCGAAAGTACTTGAGAATTTGATCATAATTTTCCTCATGCTTTCTGCACGCAAAAACTTTTAACATCTTTTCTCACACGTGCACAATATTTTGGAAGGAAGTGGCTCAGAGAGAGGATTTTAGGATTCCATTAACATATTTCATATGCCATATTTCATGTCTTGTCAGTGAATCGCGCTCAAAATACAGGATATTCACAGTGAGGCTTTCTCGGCGGCTCCGTCGAAGAGATGACGCGTGTCAAGTCGTGATCAATTCATTTTCGCTTTCGCTTTCTCAAGGCACTTCACGGCACAATATTATTTATAAAAAAAAAAAACGTGGACGGACATACACAGACAAGGACAAATGCCACAAGCGGCAACACTGAGTAGAGAAAAGGGAATTCCATATCGGACATCCTTGACGGCATTGCCCCGCCTTCCCACGCTTCCTGTCATCCCGTTTTCACGGGGAAGGTGGCGGCAACATCGATGCCGCTCCGGCCATAGGCCCTCCATCGCTGCACATCGAGCCGATGTGGCGGGTGCTATTGAGGTGCACCAAGCCCCTACCTCTCGCACCATGGAGCACAGAGTGGCCTATGCTTCAGCCCAAGGGAGAGCAGGTAGTACCCGAAAGCAGCCGGGTGAACTGTCGACCCAGGAGAATACCGCCGGTCGGATTCGAACTTGGACCTCCCGCGTGCGCCCGGGCATTATCCATTGAGCCACGGTGACGCGGTCACGGCACAATATTCTTGTATCTAAGCTGATTCTCAAAACTATCAATACTGCTACTATCGATACAATCGTGCCCATGCATAGTGTAAAATGGAGAGGCGAGTCTCTCCGGGCACTTCCGCCATCTTAGGACTGGAGTCGCTGGAGGAAGTCGATAGCAGGCCTATAGAGAAGGAAGGGCAAGAGGGAATATGCCCCGGGCCCCATGCCCGGAGGCCCCTCACGTCGGCACCCACCCCTCATCATGCAATCCACTCCCTCTTCCCAGTTAAGAGTAGAGAGTGTAACTAGAGGCGACACTCCGAGGGGTAGTGAGGGGGGGGGGGTTGAAATTATACAGAGGCATCTGGTGGCTTGTTATCAACGACACTTCCATAAGGCTTGCTTCGTGGCAGCGGAGTCGGGAAACGACTCGTTCGGGGATTCGATTGAAAAGGGATCCCTCAACGTAACACGCATGTTGAGTCTGCTGCTCGGCCATGGAGGGGTTGATGTGCGCACGCTAGGTGGATGATCTACAGCGACATCCATGTTGCGATTGACATTGACATTGACAATGGGATTCGAGCGGGATCTCGCCTCGAGTTCATGCAGCGATTGCGATGCGAGACCGAGTCGGGTGAGGTTTTCCATCGAGGTCCGAGAGAGCACGGTTTAGCTCGAGGACAGTATGGTCGCGAGTGCAACTTAGGCTCTGACGTGTGGGGGACTAAATGTGGTCTAAAGTGTTGCCTGTTTCCGATTTTAACCCAAGTCGGCTCGAAACCCTAGTTCGTTGCCTTGACGCCAAATTCCGTGCAAAGTCCTTTATTTATACATATCGATCGTCTAGGAGCGAACACTGCCGGCACCAACTCATTACTTATTTTACTATATGGTGGACCGGTTCATGGAAAATTACAATTATTTCAAGTTTCACCTCTCTAACGACTTAATTCCCGTTTGAGTAACTTAACAAGGGTCGAGGTCACGCGACCCTATCGCCATCTCTCGGTCATCCTCTGTACCGTGTACTGGCAGTCACTCAGGGAACTCCCTTTTGGTGATTGCCGACAAGATCAGGACAAAAATCACTCAAAAAAACACTCCATCCCTGTTATTTGGAACTCCATCCCTGTTATTTGGAACTCCATCCTTTGCAGGGTTAACGCTGAGGCACCATTCTGATGGAGCTGAAGCGGATGTGCATGCAGACTGTCACTCCGACCAAATCGCATCATTTAAATCTCGCGAGTTGATCCGCCATAGTTAGCATGAAAAGACGTGGCTAAATTCCCTACGAGGGAGCTCGAGCCGCGTGAAATATAGCGATGGAAAAGCGAAGGGATGACTCGGCGCGGCATGCGACCGTTTTAAGAAACCGTTGCAAGTCACAATTTATTGAGATTGATTGCCTCCCGTTATGAATCATCTGTTATTTTCATCGCCGAAGTGGATCGTGCAGAAGCGAATGCAGCAATTTACGAGACATTCTACCTGCAAGGGTCATTCCACCTGCAGGGAGCGTTCCACCTGCAGGTGGTCATTCCACCTGCAGGGGGGTCATTCCACCTGCAAGGGGTCATTCCACCTCCAGGGGTCATTCCACCTGCAGAGGTCATTCCACCTGCAGAGGTCATTCCACCTGCAGAGGTCATTCCACCTGCAGAGGTCATTCCACCTGCAGAGGTCATTCCACCTGCAGAGGTCATTCCACCTGCAAGTGGACCAGCGAACTTTTCCCAGGAAATGGCGAAAAAGGAGGGAAAACGTTTCAATCATTCAGATTGAAGGCTGCTTGACTTCATGGGACAACTCTTCTCACTGAAGATCGTCGGTGAGCGACAATCGTACTTTTAATTCTCGCTAAAGAGAAATTTTTTTTTTCTTTTACTTGAAAAGGACCTGGAAAACCCCGGATTTTGTAGGATTCCAAAATGGATATTTTAACGTGTACCGACTTTGTGGCCGCATGGAAAGCGTGCTCACTTCTCCTTAGAAATAAGTGGGATTTTCAGTGATGGTCACGCAACCAAGCCGGCACAGAAGGTGGCTCATTGCTGGCTGCTGCCGCCAAAGAGTCGCCTTCCCGCAAAACAGAGCCCCAAATACCTACATGGAGAAAAAAATCCCAATGGAAAAGCAACGGGCACGGAAGGCGGGCACAGAAGCCCCCCTCCGCGCCTCCCTCCCTCCACATCAAGGTGAAGGGTGTCGTCACTCTGAAGCGAACGCGTCCCCGCCCCCAGTCGAGAGACGGCTCGGGACGTGCACGCTTTCGTTCATCGCACCGCCGGCTCGAGTCACCTACGAGAAATGCAAGCCTTTTTTATTTTCCTTCATTCTCGATGTCGCGACCGTCTCGTTGCAATTTGCTTCCAGTTAGGAAAACTTTTCTTGAGAATTCTCAAGCCGCTGAGTTCTGCGAAAGTTTGCCATTTCCGGATTATCAGGCTTCGTTGAGTTCAAAAATTGTTCCAAATATTAAGTGCGATCAGGTTGCATAGAATCCGCATCGATGTGGGGGGAAATGACGTTTCCATTTCCTGCAAGCTTTTGGAAGATGGAAGTTCGTGATATTAAGCATTTTTTTGCAGTTTTTGCAGCATCCGAGAATCTCGAGATGAGCTGTCGTCCTCAGCTTCTGCCTGCGATACCGTGACCATAAAAGCCGCTCATTCTGACACGGCCAGTGCTTAGAACCAAACCAAGCTTCCAACCACTTCTGCTTGGATTCTGAGAAAGAATCGAAACTAGAAAGCGAAATTGGGAATCCAAATTAGGAATTCAAGTTGGGAATCAGAATTAGGGTTCCCAATTGGGGAAGAGACTACTCCTCGCCAAGTTGCTGCAAATTCCAACAAATTTAATCGTAACGTTACAGTTACTGTTATCCAGTAGCCCAGATTAAGACAGCTTTGCCAGGGAAATTAATTGGATTAATTGGATTTATGGAGCAATCGTGGTGGAATTCTGGAATGTTCCCAATTTCAGGACGGATTGGATCCAATATGGCCGAATAACGAAAGTCTAACGCCTTACACTTTCCCTGTCGTTCCACCAATTATTTTGAAGAACTTCATGAGTTTGTTATGAATTCGACTGCCAAAAAGAAGTTTGATCGGATTGGAATGCCAGATGAGTATTTTATTTTATTTTGTTGGTTCTGGACGTGTTAAAGTCCACGTCGCCCGCGATTCTGGTATGACAAATGACAAGAGAAATAAGAAATGACGATTGAATAACAATCGACGCTTAGCTTTAGATTTGGATCAGATTAGCAAGATCGTGTCAGGTTTTGATCGCTAAGAAATTGTTGTCTCCTGGGATCCGAAAGTTTGCTTGGAGGAAAAGCGAGGAGAATCCGGAGGATGAGACGGCAGTTCCACCCTTTCCTGTTCGACGGAGGAACAAATTCACGGTGAAACGGAGCATGTTGAATTGAAACAGACTGTTTTTTCGTTGCGAGTGAGATGGACCTCGATAGAGGGGCATATCACGCACGGGGAAAGGAGCGTGTTTACGGGAAGAGGCATATTACGCAGGGAATAACTGGAGCATTACGCGGAAAGGGGCGTATTACGCAGGGAGAAACTGGTGCATTACGCGGAAAGGGGCATATTACGCAGGGAGAAACTGGAGCATTACGTGACCATGTGAACAATGGTAGCCCCGTCGTAGATGCGGGGAAAATATGAATTTCTCGCCATTACGCGGAATCCTCGCTTCGCCCTGACCTTCAACGCAACCTGGTTGAAGGACTCGGACTTGTCGCGCAATAGAAACCCCTCTCCCCCCCACTGACTCCTCGTTCGAGCAAACAAAATCGCATCCTGGTTGTTATCGGATGATGCCGCACTTTCGCAACATAAAATGGGTCATGCTGTTTGTCTCTTTCCAGTTAGCGAGTGCCTGCGACAACAGCGGCAAGCCTGCGAATACAGCAGCAAGCCGGCGAATATATCGGGAAGCCTGCGAATACACCAGCAAGCCGGCGAATATATCGGAAATGCGCGCGAATGTGCTCCGGGAGTTGAGCCTCAAGGTCCACACGATCTTGGAGAACTTTTTCTACAAGTGAGTTCCTCATATTTACGAGAAAAATAGTATTATTTTTTTATAATAACCAATTATTTATTTTAATATTATTACATTATGTACAGTATATAATCTAGTTCTGAAATGCCATTATTCGTCCTTTGCCCTTGCGTCGCGGCTACTTGGCATTCATTTCGTTGGTGCCAAACATTCATTTCTTTGCGATCGGGCATTCATTCTACGTATCGGAAAGAATCCAAACTTGACTTTTCGCCATTGACAACGTTGCTCTAAAAAGAAATGCAAGCGTGAACGAGCTTTCGGGCCTTCGAGCCGGAAGCGGAGGTATTGAGACCGCGAGACTCGCAGGCTCGACGTGAAAAATATGTTGTACTAAGGAAATTGGCCCTGTCGTGTGGTTAGCAAATGGTATGGCAGGATTTTTGCAAATATGGAACATTCGGAATGTGTAATATTTTGAACATGTAATATTTTGAACATGTAATATTTTGAACATGTAATATTTTGAACATGTAATATTTTGAACATGTAATATTTTGAACATGTAATATTTTGAACATGTAATATTTTGAACATGTAACATTCGGAATGTGTAATATTTTGAACATGTAGCATTCGGAATGTGTAACATTTTGAATATTCAACACTCAGATTATGAAAATGTCTGAATTCCGTTCCCTGGAAAATTTATTTCCGAAATTGACAAATTTAAAAATTATTACAATCATTCTGAAAAGCGTTCCATTCCATTTTTGTCTATTCTTTTTCCGCACTTCGATTCTCTGTGACCCCACCATCATCATCGACGACATGCTCTTTCTGACGGTTACATTTCCTGAGTCGAGAGGTGGTTGGGTCATGCCTGTGGAAACTCAGCCTTTCCCTGTTGCGGCGGTAGGAAAGTCCTGTAATCGGTCCTGTAATCTTGTAATCAGATTATTTCTGCAGAAACGCGTATTTAAATAGATTTTTCACTGCAAATAGATCACTTTTTCTTGAAAATGTGACAATAATACTATATAACCACACTTTAAAAATATTTTATTTGCTCATAATTTTGCATACTTACGGTTTGGCATTGCAAGCACCCCACCAAATTTCATATTACATTTTTATGGAAGCAGTTTTTTTTATATTTTGATTTCATAGAGGTAACTTTCCGAGCGCCGTATTTTCTTTCCTATCTGGAAGCTCGCGGCCATGAAGGGTCACGCGCCGAATTCCTCGTTGAAAAGTGGATTACACCCAAGTGGATTACATCCAAGTGGATTACATCCAAGTGGATTACATCCAAGTGGATTACATCCACATTCCAACAGGCATCCGTTGTGGCACTGCTTCAGGCTGCTGTTGGGTCGAGATAGCACTTCTGAGACTCGGTTTCCCCCTTAAGATTGTCTCAATCTGGTGGGAGAGAGCGGAAACTGCAAATGAGGAATTTTCCTTTGAATTTTCGCATTGTTCTTTGCAAAAAAATTCAGACGAAGATCGTGCCTAATTTTCTATCGTTGAAGCATGTTTCCACCTGTGATCCCAAGGTCGCCCATGGGAAAAGTTCGTGAATCCTGGAAAAGCCCTGAGTCGGGAATAGCAGAAAATGCGGGATAAGCAGGAGAAATCACAAACCTCTGCTGATCCAATACCGCCAATAAGTTAGGATTTCAGCTTCGGGAAAACCTTTTTTTAGAAGTTTCAAGCAGCCAAAAGTTTCCTTGAAAGAAAAGCGGGGAGAATTCGGTGGATGAGACAGCAGTTCCATCCTTTCCTGGTCAACGAAACTCCTTGACAGTGACAGGACGACGGAGAGGAGCAATGTCACGGTGAAACGGAGCATGTTGTTTTATACGCAGGCTGTTTTTTCCGTTGCGAGCGAGATGCGCTTGCGAAGGAGTTGCATGTCCTTGTTCGCCGTCTTTCCTCGTACATCTTTCACGCAGTAAAATTATGTAAACTTTTTAATTAAGTAATTGCGAGCTCTAATGGTGAGCCTGCGACTTCAAAATTTTTTTTAACAGGAAAGAATCTTAATAGCTGCTTCGTTCACGGCATCTTTTCTGACTTTTCTTCAAGCAAAATTACGGCAGTTTGGAACTGTCAATTACTTTTCCCGGCGGAAGGTGTAATAGTCAATAAACGCCATTGAGACTGCAAATTTCCCAGTGAGCAAAACACGCCTTTGAAGGTGATTTTGCTGAAGTCTTCACAAGCTTAGCCAAATAATGAATGTTGATTTTAAAAAATAAAATAAAATAAATAAATAAAATAAATAGCTGGTGGCCCCAAATAACACGTACTGTTCGACGCTTTATAGAATCCGCTGTGGATGATTTAGTTTCCTGGTGTTCGCGTATCACATTGGAAACATCACAAAATTTGTTTTCTGAAAATTGCATGTACCTAGGCTGTCTTAAGTGAAAGTTGACAGTAGTTCAAAGTGGAGTCTAAAGTTTACCTCTTCCGCGCATGAGGTGGATGGATTTTTGGCACTACTTGAATGATTTCTATCCCTTGATGCCATGAAGATTGCTTTTTACGCCAATCCCTGTAGTATTCGACTCGTCATAGAATAGTACTACTGTCGTACATCGTAGCATCAGAATCATTACTACGCAGAATTCTACGATGAGATCTGGCATACAAATCTGCAGTCATGGCGTCAAGGGAAAGAAATCATTCGAGCGGTCCTGAAAATCCATCCACCTCATGCGTAGAAAAGGTAAATTTTTGTTTCACTTTGACCGACTGTCGATTTTTATTCAGACAACCTAAGTACACGAAACTTTCAGAAAACAAATTTTATGATGTTTCCAACGTGATACGAAAGCATCAAGAACCTAGATCATTCGCAGCAGGTTTTATAAAGCGGCAAACAGGACGCATTTTTTGGGCCACCCGGTATAATAAATTTTAGAGCACCCTGTGATTCCCAGGTCAAGAATGGTAAACAAAAGTAATTCATTCGCTTCCTGCAGTTAGAGTGGTCATGAATATTGGAAAGTTCTATTGCCGTTCACTTATGATTTCATTCGATCGCGATAATTGCATTCCATGCCATCCTGGTCGAAGCGAAAAGATTAAATCCTGCAACTTGCGATTTCGATCCGAGAAATGCAGTTGGGGCAAAAATCCATTTCGCAAAAATCCTTGCCGTCGGTTTTGCACGGTTCCGCTCTCATCCGAAATCCCTGGAAGAACTCTTCTCAGTACCCGTTCTATCTTTGGATTTCCCCGACAAACGACCTTTGAAGAATGATCCAAATCAGCCCGACTGGAAATGCTGACGTCACGCCCAGAGTCCCTTAAACGCACATTCGTGTCGTCCTTCGTTTTGAGGCATTTCCTTTGTTCTAATGCATTTGGGAATCCTTGGATTTGGGAAGCCTTCTTCGCATGGGAGTGTGAATGCGTGTTAGGAAAGGCCGTGGTTAACGAAGCCTTCCTGAGTAACGATGTCGTCATATACGACCAGGTCGTCGAGGATTATTCGCTTAAATGGGTGGGGGATACTTCTAACCCGGATATTGGAATATATGTCTCCATTTCAGGGATAATTATTTCGACCTCGTGAGATTACATGAAGGACGACACAAGGAGTGACGCGGCAGGTGTTATTCATCGTCTTCCGTGCGACATTGGCCGTGTCAGCACGTGCTATTGTCATAATTATTTACATTAATTAATAAGGGAAAGACCGGATCTATGCAGATGCGGATGCCACATGTCGAATCGTCCCTGGGCGTACATTGGGCTGGCCTTCGCACTGGTGGCCGCATGCGGGCCGGGGATGCTCTTATGGAAGGAGGAGAACGCGGAGAACGTGGAGGCCTGGTTCCAGCCCGATTCCTATTTGTATCGGACGCAGGAGTGGATGAGGGAGAACTTCGCGGAGGGAGTTCGGTACGAGAATCTCATCCTCACCGGACCGAATGTCCTCACGCCGGAATTCTTCAAATACGTAAGCTCGCCGTGTTTTCGTGCTTGCCAAGTACGTGCCGGCAATCGCCTTGTTCCTTTTCCAATGCAGATGGCGAGATTGGACAAGAGGATTCGGTCGATAACAAAAGGCGGATATTCCTGGGAGGATGTTTGCGCCAGGTAAGGTCGGGAGAGATTGGAAGGAGATGGTTACCTTGACATTCCTCGTGTCAAATTTGTGAATTCACAACCATTACTTTCCAAAAGGAGATCGGACACACACATGAGATATGATGAAGTTGCCTCTGGGTGACTAAGCCAAAGGTGGGCGCAGTTGAGACAAAATTAGTGCTATGAAGCCTGCCTAGAAGCGGAACTGCTTACTTGCGAAGGAAGATGAGAACTTATTATTGCATATAGATAATTTCCCTAGTTTCGGGATTCATAATCATTGTTATCGTAGATCGCCATAATAACCATAATTCATTGTATTGGCAATTATTTTTTCATAAGTCTTGATTTTTCCCACCATGACTTGGCATTGAGAGGGACAGACAGGAGTGATCACATACTAGAGTCATGAAATCAAACGAGAGATAGCCCAGCCCAGCAGTGGCTTTAAGGACTTGAAAACAGGAGGATGTGACTGGTACAAAGAGAATTAGCGGCTCCGTTCAATGAAATGACATACCGACTCAGCCTGGGGCGAGATTGAGGATGGACAATGGTTGCTTATACCTTTTTGCACGGAGAAAATTTCTTAATTTAAAATTCGCAGGAGCTTTTAGAGAAAAAGTTTTCAAATTTCAACTCTGCGTATATCTCTACGTTCTGATGGCCACAGCGATCAGATCGATATTTATTAGCTACCATCAAACGACGAAAGTCTACGTATTACATACAGACTGACGCGGCTATACACGCACGGACTTAAATGACATTCCTTTTTAGTAATGAGGTCTACTAAAAGTCGATTAACTTTAAATTGGCTGTCACCTGATCCAGTTTTAGAGCTAATGATGGGGCTTTACAATTCGGCGATTAACAGCGATTTCAGGGTCATACCATGGACTAGAACCTGAAATCCAGCTTAGGAAATTCGGAAGCTGAAAAGCAGAGAAAGAGAAAAAAAAATCAGTAACGGAAAAAGACAGCAAGTGTTAAACTCCTCCTCACAATCCTCCTCACAATCCTCCTCACAATCCTCCTCACAATCCTCCTCACAATCCTCCTCACAATCCTCCTCACAATCCTCCTCACAATCCTCCTCACAATCCTCACAATCACGACCTCGATCTGCGATCGTAGCGGGGTCATCAAACGGATCTGGATGAAATTTGGCGCAGCATGTCCTCACTAAGAAAAAAAGCCTTGGCCAATTTCTTTTGTGCTGGCCCTCTTGGTTTCCGAGATTGGTCGCAATTTTTTATTATTACCATTGTTGGGTGCCTTTATTCTATTGCAGCATAAAGTACTTCATATCTCGGGAATTATTTCACACATTGATGTTTTTTAGCTCATCGGAAAGTTCTTGAATAGCTCTTACGTTATGTTATTATATTCATGCTCAATGAAGACAAGGAAATAATCGCCAACAACCTATTTCCTGGGCGACCACTTTCTCAAATTCCTTCAAGTATATTTTTAGAAGGAAGTGTCAGTTTTCCTCAGCGCACTCAGAAAATTTACAATTGTTTAGTAGTATACGAGTAATGGTGTTTTAAAAGATTACTGTCGCGAAATTTGCGGTAATGCACGTGGGCCAAGTGTACGGAAATTGCAGACATATACAGTAGATTGCCGAAATTCCAAGATTTTGAAATTATTACTCAAAGCAATGATGTAGTTTTAATAATTTTGGAATTTATGTGTTTAAAATGCGGTACTTGTGAAGTCAGTCCATCATGACAGTTATGAAGTTTCAGTGTTTCCTACATGTAAAAGCTTTCGTTGTAAATTCCTTGATTGACGATTGCCTTGATGTTTGCTTTTGTTATGGAGTCTGAAGGCAATCACAAAGGAAAGAAAGAACTTCTGCAAATCTCAAAATCATTGTTTCAACGCAATTCATGGCCTATCTTCTCCGCTCGACGCATATGACACATCAGCTACACATATGACATCAACAGAAAAAGCGCTAATCGAAAGTCACTTCGAGACCTCCAAAACCTGCCCAATGTCAATCTTTGGTGAAACGTCATGTGTCTTTCCAGGCTTTTCGTCATGTCTCCTCGAGTTATAAGTTTTTGGAGGACATGTTGCCCTTGTGCTGGCTGTGGAGGTCTTAGCATGACGTGCTGTGTTGAGCGAAGACAAAGGTCGTGAACAGTATCGTCTGATAACTTCCATGTTTTTTAATTGAGCGTGAATTTGATGAGTGATTTAAGAGATATTTAAGAGCTTTTAGTTGAGCGACAGTACATTGATTTAGCTCAATTTGTTCTTGAGATATCAGTAACATCCCACAAAAGCATAGACTTAATGATCTCGGGAACCAAGGGGCCCGGCACTTAGTATATTGACATCAGTACATACCGGCACTAAATGCATTGGCAAATCATTACTCGGTGAGGGAATGCTGTGCGCCAAATTGCATCCGGATCCGTGAGATGACCAACACCTTTTTTAAAATTTAAATTGAACAGCTGAAAGGGAATAACTCAGCGGTCCTTGCCATCAAGAAATGATAACAGCACTCCCTGCGGCGCTGGAACCCCAAGATTCAAGATAGTTGGTGATATCAAGAGGCGATTTCGCCCATTTCGATATCGCGTGTTGAGGTCGAGCGTTCCTTAATTTTAGGGTAGGCCTAACCCTCTGAAAGCTATATATATTTATATATTTTTTGTTATTTGACTATCCTATTTGCTTACTGTCAAGTACCTAACGTCAACATTGCCCCCCACCTTTTTGCCCGTCCATGAAAGCATCTAGTTTCTTGTTGATGATAGTCACAGCGCGGGGCAGCCACTACTTCGTTTTCCTATTTGTATCGGACGCAGGAGTGGATGAGGGAGAACTTCGCGGAGGGAGTTCGGTACGAGAATCTCATCCTCACCGGACCGAATGTCCTCACGCCGGAATTCTTCAAATACGTAAGCTCGCCGCGTTTTCGTGCTTGCATTGCACGTGCCGGCTATCGCCTTGTTCCTTTTCCAATGCAGATGGCGAGGTTGGACAAGGAGATTCGGTCGATAACAAAAGGCGGATATTCCTGGGAGGATGTTTGCGCCAGGTAAGGTCGGGAGAGATTATAAGGACATGGTTACCTTGACATTCGTCGTATCAATTTTGTGAATTCGCAACCATTACTTTCCAAAAGGAGATCGGACACAAACATGAGATATGATGAAGTTGGCTCTGAGTGACTAAGCCAGAGATGGGCGCAGTTGAGACAAAATTAATGCTGTGAAGCCTGCCTAGAAGCGGAACTGCTTACTCGCGAAGGAAGATGAGAACTTATTGTTACATATAGATAATTACCGTAGTTTCGGGATTCATAATCATTATGTTATCGTAGATCGCCATAATAACCATAATTCATTGTATTGGCAATTATTTTTTCATAAGTCTTGATATTTCCCACCATGACTTGGCATTGAGAGGGACAGACGGGAGTGATTGCATACTAGAGTCATGAAATCAAACGAGAGATAGCCCAGCCCAGCAGTGGCTTTAATTACTTGAAAACAGGAGGATGTGACTGGTACAAAGAGAATTAGCGGCTCCGTTCAATGAAATGACATACCGACTCAGCCTGGGACGAGATTGAGGATGGACAATGGTTGCTTATACCTTTTTGCACGGAGAAGATTTATTAATTTGAAATTCGCAGGAGCTTTTAGAGAAAAAGTTTTTAAATTTCAACTCTGCGTATATCTCTACTTTCTGATGGCCACAGCGATCAGATCGATATTTATTAGCTACCATCAAACGACGAAAGTCTACATATTACATACAGACTGACACGGCTATACACGCAAGGACCTAAATGGCATTCCTTTTTAGTAATGAGGTCTACTAAAAGACGATTAACTTTAAATTGGCTGTCACCTGATCCAGTTTTAGAGCTAATGATGGAGCTTTGCAATTCGGCGATTAACAGCGATTTCAGGGTCATACCATGAACTAGAACCTGAAATCCAGCTTAGGAAATTCGGAAGCTGAACGGCAGAGAAAGAGAGAAAAAAATCAGTAACGGAAAAAGACAGCAAGTGCTAAACTCCTCCTCATAATCCTCCTCACAATCCTCCTCACAATCCTCACAATCACGACCTCGATCTGCGATCGTAGCGGGGTCATCAAACGGATCTGGATGAAATTTGGCGCAGCATGTCCTCACTAAGAAAAAAAGCCTCGGCCAATTTCTTTTGTGCTGGCCCTCTTCGTTTCCGAGATTGGTCGCAAATTTTTTTTTTTTACCATTGTTGGGTGCCTTTATTCTATTCTTTATTCTATTGATATTACTTCATATCTCGGGAATTATTTCACACATTGATGTTGTTTAGCTCATCGGAAAGTTCTTGAAGAGCTCTTACGTTATGTTATTATATTCATGCTCAATGAAGACAAGGAAATAATCGCCAACAACCTATTTCCTGGGCGACCACTTTCTTAAATTCCTTCAAGTATATTTTTAGAAGGAAGTGTCACTTTTCCTCAGCGCACTCAGAAAATTTACAATTGTAGTTTAGTCGTATACGAGTAATGGCGTTTTAAAAGATTACTTTCGCAAAATTTGCGGAAATGCACGTGGGTCAAGTGTACGAAAATTGCAGACATATACAATAGATTGCCAAAATTCCAAGATTTTGATATTCTTGCTCAAAGCAATGATGTACATCCCAAAACTATTAAAACTACATGTTTAAAATGCAGTGCTTATGAAATCGCGAAGTCAGTCCGTCAGGACAGTTATGAAGTTTCAGTGTTTCCTACATGTTAAAGCTTTTTTCTTTGTGAATTGCTTGATTAACGATTGCCTTGATGTTTGCTTTTGTTATGGAGTCTGAAGGCAGTCACAAAGGAAAGAACTAGAACTTCTGCAAATCTCAAAATCATTGTTTCAACGCAATTCATGGCCTATCTTCTCCGCTCAACCCATATGACACATCAGCTACACATATGACATCAACAGCAAAAGCGCTAATCGAAAGTCACTTCGAGACCTCCAAAACCTGCACAATGTCAATCTTTGGTGAAACGTCATGTGTCTTTCCAGGTTTTCTCGTCATGTCTCCTCGAGTTATAAGTTTTTGGAGGACATGTTGCCCTTGTGCAGGCTGTGGAGGTCTTAGCATGACGTGCTGTGTTGAGCGAAGACAAAGGCCATGGCCAATATCGTCTAACTTCCATGTTCTTGAATTGAGCGTGAACTTGAGAAGTGATTTAAGAGATATTTAAGAGCTTTTAGTTGAGTTACAGCACATTGATGTAGCCCAATTTGTCCTTGAGATATCAGTAACATCCCACAAAAGTATAGACTTAATGATCTCGGGAACCAAGGGGGGCGACACTTAGTATATTGACATCAGTACATACCGGCACTTAATACAGTGACCTGAATATTTACCGGCACTAAATGCATTGTCAAATCATTACTCGGTGAGGGAATGCTGTGCGCCAAATTGCATCCGGATCCGTGAGATGACCAACACCTTTTTTAAAATTTAAATTGAACAGCTGAAAGGGAATAACTCAGCGGTCCTTGCCATCATCAAATAACAACACTCCCTGCGGCGCTGGAACCCCAAGATTCAAGATAGTTAGTGATATCAAGAGGCAATTTCGCCCATTTCGATATCACGTGTCGAGGTCGAGCGTTCCTTGATTTTAGGGTAGGCCTAACCCTCTTAAAGCTATATGTTTTTATATATATATTTATTTATTTGACTATCCTATTTGCTTACTGTCTAGTACCTAACGTCAACATTGCCCCTTTTTGCCTGTCCATGAAAGCATCTAGTTTCTTCTTAAAGATAGTCACAGCGCGGGGCAGCCACTACTTCGTCATCTAACGCATTCCACGCGTTCACCACTCTGCAAGTAAAGAATTCCTGTCTCGACCTGAGCCACACCTGCGGTTCAAGCAACTTAAGTCCGTTCTCTTGCTGTCATCAAACTGGAAAAACCTACCACACTCGACATTATCTATTCCTTTAATTATCTTGAAAGCCTGGATGAGATCGCCCCTCCTTAACCTTCGTTCGAGCGAGTACAGTCCCAACACTTCTGAACGCTTCTCGTATGAGAGTCCCCGTCCCTGGAGTTCCTGTCAAATTGCATCGGCTCGAACAATTTCTTTTTGCAGACACATTTTCGGTTCTTAGTTTCCGATCGCGTTTTTCTCTTTCTTTAACGTAAATTGTAGGCATATGGTCAGAGCTACGGATGGCTCAGGTGACAGCTATTTCTATTACATCGGAGCCATCATCATGTTGGCATCTTTCTCTCGTATTTTATGCCGGTCCGACACTCGAGTCCATTTGCTCAAACCTCTAATCCTCATCGAAAGCATCGATGAGGATTAGAGGCCATCAAATTGGCATTTGATGGCCTGTGTGCACTTCTCCTCTCATGTGTCCAGGCCGGACGAGTTCCTCGAGGGCAAGGGAGTGGTGAAAAATCGACCGGAGAGAACTTCAGATTTCTCCGACTTCCAGCACCGTTCCGACTACTACGACGACCTCGTTCCTGGTACGCGTTCGGTTCAATGATTCTGAAGAGATTTTTCACGCCGCGATTCTGTTGATCCCTGGCGCTGGCGTGTTATAACGGCTACTCTTTCCCTTCATTTAAGTATTTATTTATTATTTAGACTTAATTTGACTTGTAAGTTCCAACAGCGTGCTCATCACTCAATCGATGATGTGAACATCCAATACAAAAGAAAATGAAATAACATGTCGACGCCAATGACAGGTAAAGCCTTGTTATAACACCTCGCGGCAGGGAAAGGGTTAACGTCCTTGGTCCTCTGTCGGATTGACTCACGGCGAGGAATCACTTGTCATTGCGATGCTAAGGACGGAAATGGAGTAGGAGGCGTGTGGGATCGCAGGCGCAATAATTCTGGGGGTGTAGAATTGCGTGCTGGTATTAGGATTCACTACTTGATTTGCAAACCTCTACGCAAGTAGGCCAACTACTTCGTATGGTATTTATATGAGGACTCGCCGTCCGTGCGAAGCGAGCCCTATTCCGGCCTCACGCTTTTCTTATTGCGATGATGATGTAGGCCTAAAGTTCATGGTCTTCATAACGAGATGGGAAAGAACTTCTGATGCCCTCAAAGTTTCAGCAATGGTGTAATCGACAAAATTGACAATGCCCTTTACTGGGAATTTAAATTCCCCAATTTAAATTTGAAATCACAGCAAAAGAGATAGTTAGGGACGAGCTTTCAGAAACTGGCTCAGGAAAATGGAGCATTATGGCATTTTGTCATTATTCTTTTGCGACAAAAAGCTCCACCTCACTTCGTGGTAAGAGCAGGTGCACGAGTCACGGTCATGAGAATTCGAGATGACACCTTTGTGCAAGAAGTCTTGCTCAAATACGCTTCATGGGGTTCGATGAACTCATGAATGAACTGAACGATATATATTTTCATTCATAGTTTAATGGTTTTGGGGCTCAGATGAAGAGCTAAGGCAAAATAATGACGTACACGATTTGAACCTGTGAAACTGAAACAACATTTTAGCCGTATCCTCAAATTTATTTCAATTTCAGTTTTGGTTTTGGAGTTTACCGCAATCTTAACCGTAAACAAAACTCGTAATAATAAATGGACGACTTCTTTCCCGAACGGTAATAATTATCTGCACGGCATCAAAACATTGAAAAAAATTTTTTTTAACCCCTTCAAGAAAATGCAGGCAGGGAATATTCTTTTTTTCGCAGTTTGAAGATATTTTAGTTCTGCGTCGAATCTGAACCAAAAACCGCAAAATATTTCTGAAATACATTATTAACCAAACCATTATAATTTTCCAGCCCTGTTAAGCTTTCATGACTTAAAAATGTTTTCCTTTGCCCCTCCTTCTTCATTTGCACAGCAGAAATTATCGCGAATGAGGCGATCCAATCGAGACTTCAAGATCCGGTCGAAACTGAGCAGGGGAAAACCCATGCCGGTACACATGATGAACACCGTCCATCAGTCGCGACGACGGAAGGAAATAAAACCCAAGATGTGGATCCAGATCCTACCAGAAAATCCTTCCCATTCAATCCCACGGAGACCACGCCCGCGTCTGACGCCAAAGAGGAATACGAGAAAAAGACAAATCCTAGGGAATCAGACCATGCAAGCGCATCGAACGGGTCACAGACATTCCAGCCCCTAAGCGAACGGAAGGAGGACGTTCACGACCGAACGGAGTCGGAGAAACCTCGATCACTTCCTACGGGGACGATCGGATCGGTCAAGGAAGGAAGCGATTACGAGGACTACGGGGATTACGGCTGGAAAGCCAGCGCGGACGAAACCCCGCTGTTCGGGGCGGAGAATGGCGAGGAAAACACTTTCCTCGACGATCGGTGCGTCTACGTCAGCACTCTGCTCTTATGGGTCCGTGACTACGACTTCGAAAACATCACACAAGAGGAGATATTGGACAAAGTCACGAAGGCACTCGATAAAGAGTAGTTACTCGACGTGTTTTCGCTCGCTGAATTTTGAAACAACTCAAAAACATTATTTGCGTTATTTTTTGCCAGTTCAACGGCTCCAAGAGACGTGGAAGTGATCTTAGCCAAGGTAGAAAGGGATCGGAACGGAAGAGTAATTTCGGCCAGGGGAATCATGAGCGTCTACATTCTCAAGGACCGGACCAACGTCACCTCCAGCAGTGGACAGCGGGTAGGAATTCCTCTCGGTGTCGAATGGCGCATCTCACCCGTGTATGGCGACATTCGCTTCCTTTTCAGATGGATCCGATCGCGGAACCGTGGGAGAAGGAATTCATCGACTTGGTGTTTCATAACGACATTCCCAAGCCTGAAGGACTCGGGACGTATGCCATGGCAGCGCGAAGGTCTGTGACTGAATGCCTTCATTTTAGCCTTCCTTGACATTTTCCGCTCTTTTGCTCTCGTGTTCCTTTCGTCCGCTTTTGTCTTCCTTCCGGCGTTTTGCCTCTTGTTTTCGTTGAGGGACCGTGTCAAGGGCGTCGAGGCTCTCATACAAGATGCAAATAGGTTTGATTAACACATTGGTGACGAAATCCGAGTTTCTTTGGATATGTGCCGTTCGTTGACGCCCGTAAAAATACTCAATAAAGTATCTCTAAATGAATCACTAATACGAGGATACTTCAGATATTTTAATATGCGGCTCATGTACAATTCATTGAAATGCAAACATCCTCCAAAAAAGCAAATTTTAGGAAAAAATCTGTCCAAGAGAGGGAAAAGGCGGTTGAAG